AAACAACTCCCTTACCACTTCATCAATTATATTTGATGATTTTGCTTTTTCAAGGTGCTCTTGCACTTCATCTTCAACTGATAAAGACAGCGTTTATMATTAGTGATTGTTAAATCAATTGTGAGTGAGTAAAATATTGGTGTTCTCAATAAAAGGGTCCCAGTCAAGTTTGGGGACACCTTGCTTCTAGGGCAGCTGTCCAAACAGTTCTTTCTGTTTACAAATTTGGACAGTTCCATATGCTTCATTTGAACACATGCCCAAACTGAACAAAAACATAGTTCAGAGCGGGAACGACGTCACGTGAACAGTCCTAACAGAAGCTCAGCTGTGGYAATGATAACAACATGTCTGACATACCTAATAGAGGTTTAGCATTCGGTAGCTTTTTATCTTTTAGTGTGTCATCTTTTGGTACATAGTTTCTGAACTTTATAACTTTAATTGRTTCACTAAAGTGAACAAAATATTAAAGTTAATGCAATGATATYATAATAAGTCTTTGAGATAAAAGCATCTATTTTATACTTGAATTAAATCTGCCATGTGTAGGTTTAAATAGCTAATATATTATGGTCTTTTCATGGACATAATATGCTTTCATTACCTATCTGCTTGTCGCTTTTGTCCCCTTGCTTCATCTGTGTTCTGTAGAAATGTTTATGAAGAAGAAAACAACTGTCAACCTTCTCAAGATTCTCAATGTAGTCTGAACTAAACACTTTACTTGTCCAGTCTAGAAAACTATGTGGTGCCCTTTTAAGTAATAATTAACTTACTTCTGTTTCTTGTTGGTCAGCTGCTGCACTTTTTTGTCGCATGGCTAATAATCTTTCCTTTCTTTTCAAAGCTTCTTCTTGTAGTCCTCCGGCAACTTCGGCCGCCATCTTGGAAATGAGAGGGCTTATGGGATACTAAGCTCTACGATGGAAAGGCCTTCTGGGTAATACAAAATGGCGGGTCGACGTGAATCCTAAAAATGTTTTTTTCATCGCTTTTCATTTGATATTTCTCTCTAATTCTTCGTCATTCTTTGAATTATTACACTCTTAAGGAATAAAATGGCTTCTAACGATTCATTCTCTTTGGTAAGTTGCACATTTTTACTCGAAAAGGCTTATTTGATGTTATGCTTCTTGTTGCTAGTCAAAATATATCTTGGTTGCTATCGACATGACACTATGCTTTTGACTCCAATAGGCRCTTATAAACTATTACTGCCGAGAGAAATATTACAGGCACTTACAGAATACTTGCTTAGAAAGCTTGCAGAAGTATGGAAACGACCCGGTTTTGATATTTTGGAAAGCCTTTGGCATCTTGATGGAAGGTGAATAAACTATAACTTACTTTCAGACTGACTTATATTAGTGAAAACTCATTCAAATCTTGCTATACGTAAGTTTTTGTTCTCTTCTAGTTATATGTCTTATTAAGTCTTTATCCTACWTTTGATAGCGCTAGTAGCTTGCAATTTATTTTCCCCAGGGAAGAGGGAGGGGGGAGAAGGAGGGGGAGGGGAAGGSGAGGGGACTTTCTTCTGTTGTGTTTCTGCTGTTACACCTCCTGCCAATCCTAATATGACCCACAATATATCCTAATATGAACTTCTCTGTAGACAATCTGAATRTACCCTGAAAATCACTATAGCTATCAATCGTCAACCGCGCATGTATTGTAATTACCAGACCTTGGAGGGCCTAGCTTGAGTTTCATCAGCTACCTATAAGGAGAATAAACAGGATGCATGCAGGCTATGGAGGGTCAGACTTTTCCATCTTTCCTGAGACTAAATCACTGAATCTTAACTATTTTAGACAGGGCATCAGAGGCAATGAGAGAACTTGAATTAATCAAAGATAAGCCAGAAGTTCTACTTTGCACAAGTATGGCATTAATTTATGCACACAAAAAAGCAAAGCTTGTTGACAGAGAGGCAGTACAAGATCTTGAGTCCAAGCTACGTCAGGATAGACAAAACTGTGGTGAAATGGCTTTGTATTTTGGAAGCATGTTTCTGTGGCACTCTGGTAAAGTAGACAAATCAAGAGAGTATGTKGACAGGATGATTAAGATGTCACCTAATAACAAAGCTGTAAGTGTTATCTTAGTTTTTATTCAACAAAATTGAGTTGTCTTGTTATTATGGTTTAATAAGATGCATTTTGTTCTATTGGACCACAGGGTACCATAAAATTGCACTGTTTTAATTTTTCCAGTATCATTGTAGAGCGGATTTCGTATGAGTGGGAAACGGACGGTACTGTACTGTGTCCGTAATCGTACTGTAACCAAATTCTAGTGCCCCATTGTTTCACCAAAATTCTGCAGGCCAGGTGCGGTAACTGTGCGGTAACTATGTGGTAGCGGTGTCCTACTCATACGAAATCCGCTCTATAATATATAACTGTATTCAAAATGTCTGTTGTTGAAAGTTTATCATATTCTGCTAGCAATGACATAATGACAGTACAGTGGCAAGTAAGCAGCTACCTCATTGGCATGTGTCAGGGCTTATTCTTTTCACTCCAATTCAAAACACTTACAGTAGGAATAAGAAAATTTTATCATGAATTCAGCTGTCATCTAAATACAATAACAAACTGTAACTTTGATTACTTAATTTAGTGGTCTGAATTGAGTTTATGCTATTTGGGTGTAAATGAGTGTACATTATGATATGTACATTTTATAGGAAAGGTTTGATTCAGGCCTGTGATGTCAGTAGGCTATTGTAATGTAGCAATAACATTTAGTTGACAATGTTACTTATAGGGTTTGATACTAAGAGGCTGGATAGACYTGTCATGTGGTAGAGAAGCATTTGTTAAGAAGAGTATCAAGTTCTTTGATGAAGCACTAAGTGGGTATGTTATATACAATATCATCCTACTTGCACCTCCATATTCATATTATACAGTTCTAGAGTAACAGTACTATGGAAAAGCATGCTGTTATAAATAAAATATAGTTTAAATCCAGGTATACACAAGGGAGAATCCACGGGTACTGGTTTTCCTGTCCTTTCTCCTCTTATGATTACCCTTTTTATTTATTTTGTAACAAACTAATGTGTCCTTATCGTCAAAAAAGTTGAGTTGTCTGCAATTACAGTATTAGTAGGGTTGTTTTATATGATATCATATTTACATGTACTCATACATATATTTTCCAAAGGAAGGTGAAGAAAAAGATAGTGTACATTGACACTATGAGTGTGACATTATTTTAGATGCACAGTATGAATATGCATCTAAACTCAGTCAGACAATTAAGAGCTACAGTATACATATTGCAGAATAAATAATAGTTGTTCTTTTTTATTGTTGTTAGACCTGAAAATGTGAAAAATCTTGATGGCTTGTTAGGAAAGGTAATTTATACTAAAATGAATATTTATAATGGCATTCCCATTTGGTATAGTGTATTGTTCTGCCATTTTTGGAGTGGAGAAAGAACTGAAAATCATTATAATTGTAAAGCCTTACCATTTCCTTTTATTTTAGGCACATTATCTTCAATCAAAAAACAACTTTAGTGGGGCGYTAGAAGCAATTAATCAGGTGATTCTGAATTGTCAATCATTTTATTAATATATTCCCCGGTAACTAACTTTTTCTATTTTTTGAAAGTAAATTTCATTTCAATCTTTGCTTGTATTTGTCAGGCAATTGTGGCATATCCTGAGTGYGTTCCAGCATTGGTAGAGAAAATGACTTTACAGTTGGCATTACAGGACTGGGATCAAGCTTGTGAGACAGCTCAAAGGTTAATTTGCGAAATTAAAAACATTTAGTTATTCAAATGATTGTTAGGCAATCAATCAGTTGACCAATTCAGTTGTTCATATCAATCAATYGATTGATCAATCAATCACCATMACTTGATCAGTCTAGCTGTCTGTCTGTCATTCAATCTACAGACAATCAATCAATTAACCATCAATCAGTCAATGAACCAATTGAATTAAGTCTCTCAAGTACATTATTAGCTAGATCACAAAATTATCTATAAATTATTACATTTGGTGATWTAGATTTTCTTGTACTTTAGAGCTTTGGCCATCAACCGCAACTGTATTGAAGCTAAAAGAATAGTGCTGCTGTATTTATTGTGTAGAGAAGGCAACTATAATGAGGTATTGCAACTCCTTATCATCATCATCCACTAGGCACATAAGGCCTTCCCTCTCCCCCCCCCCCCCCCCCCCCCCCTAAACTATCTCAGTCTGTCTTTTACACTTCCACTTTTGGCTGAGTAAGTTTGGACATTAGTTTCAGTAACATGGGCTTCTTATAAGGTAGGGCTGGTAACCCTACACTCAAAMCCCAAGCTAGAGGGCCAGGAGATCACACTTAGTTGAACCCTTTGACCTGTTTGGCATTAGTGACCAGGACCAGGAGTTTKAGCTGACATTGCTCTCTGGGTCACTGGGACATGCAAACAACTCCACCACAAGGTGGTGATCTCTTTGGTGATCCCTTTTTCTTATGATAACAGATAAATGTCACTATTTCTTACCATCAGTGCTTGAAAAATATTTACTATTTCTGATTTGCTAGGTATCAGACAAAGTTGTAGAATTGATACAAATTATAGACAGATGTGAACCTCGTAACCCTGCGCTGTATCATGACATATCAAGGGGAATCAGTAGACTGGTAAGATTGATCTTGCAGAAGTCAGAGTGCAAATAGCTTGTTGTTAATAGGATGATGAGAACTCAATGTATACTAAGCTGATTTCAGTTGAAAAAATGTTCATTTTGTTAAGGTCTTCTTTTTTGTAAATGTCATCTTTTTTTATTTATTTATTTTTTTTTTGTAGTGTGGGCGTAATAACCTTGTACTYCAGCAAACACATACCATGATGGAAAGAGCAAAATCCCTTTCACCTAATAATGCAGAGTTTCTTATTGAGGTGAGGTATAGAAAGATTGTAATTAAATTGTAGAAAAGTGTGACAATACAAAGGTGACAGCACCTTCTGATCTATCCTTTTGTGGCCAATTCTGCTTTATATCATGTTTACATATATCTCTACACTGTATGGACAAGTTGGGTACATATGTAGACTGAAGTAATTATTACACAAATTATTATCATAATTTGCTTTTAAGAATTAATTTATTCTAAAAAAAATTTATACAGTCAGTGTAATGTACTCTATTGTGTTTATGATGGTGGTGATTGTGGTGATGACGACGATTGTCTTTCTTCTTTATTTAGATTGGCAATCAGTTAATTTTTCAAGTACACATCAAAGAAGCAACCAAGACATTTAGAACTGCCATGAAACTTGATGAAACAAGTGTACCAGCACTTACTGGTTAGTTGTATTTTACTTTACTGCCATCATGAATTATTTTAGATTTATTTTTACCATTTAGAGTTTTAAGCATATTTTTTATTTTCCAGGAATTATCAAGTGCCAGTTAATTGATGGTCAAATTGAAGATGCAGAGCAGCAGCTTGAGTTCCTTAATGAGATCCAACAATCCATTGGRAAATCTGCTGTGAGTGGTAACATCGAGCATGTATTTTTATAACTTACAGTGCACATGTTAAAAGTGGTGATGCGAATGTCTGAGTCAAACAAACTGTCTGTCTGTCACAACACTGTAATTTGTTATTTGTGTAATGTCATTTATCAATCTTCTACTAATAGTTAAATAATATTGATATTTCCAGGAATTGTCATACCTCACATCAGTATTGTATAGGAAAAAAGGAAAACCACAACAAGATGTCATGAATGCATTGAATGATGCTATTGACACTCATTTTACTGGGCTGCAGGTAATCCAATGTCAATCTATGATGAATTTATGTACAGCAGATTATACTAACTTCACCTTCATGATGTCTGACATGTAATTAGTATTAAGTCAGTCCTTCCTTCATTTTTTTTCAGTTGGTTAGTCAGAAAGTTAAAATTTATTTTCGTGCATTCTTTCATTATTCAGTCATTCATTCATTCTCCCTTTCATTTATTTGTTCCTTCATTATTTCTTTCATTTATTAAATATTCATTCTGTTTATCTGTTAGGGATTAGCATTGGGAGTACAGTACTTTTATCAAATGAATCCAGATTTTCTTCTTCAAATCATTGGTGATTACTTGAAGTATGCGCCATCTGAGGTAATTATTTTAATCCCACTTCAGTGAAAACCTGAAAGTTCATTATGTTTGCAAGTATTTGTTACTGACAATGCATCACATTAAAATAAACAATGTGTGTTTGTGTTCAGCCCCAAACAGCAGGTCAGCCAGTTCCCCCATTGTTAAAGAGATGTGCTGCTGTCCTTGAYCCTTTAACAAAGACTGTTCCTGGTCTTTTGAATGCACAATATTTAATGGCAAAAGTCAAGTACTTGGCAGGTAAAACAGGGCATCAACTCTATATGTATTGTTTGTATTTACTATCTATTTCATGCCAATAAAATATTGATAATTTATTGTAATAATCATTGATTCTTGTAGGTGAGGTAGATTCAGCAAAGTCMATGCTTTCACACTGTTTGGAGCAAGATTCTACATTTTCTGATGCTCATCTGCTAATGGCTCAGGTATAATGAAAATACATATTAATGAATAGTATAATTTATATTGTTTTAATTAACTATTAATTATTTATTTTTAAGTTAAGACGCAATATAATATCAATTTCATTTCACAATTTTCCTTCCTAGTACCGTTTGTTACTAAAAAGTTTTCCCTCTTTCATGAATACTAGATGACTTTTCTGACTGCTTGTTTACAGAGCAAAAAATAACAAACAGTTTTTGTTGTTCACAGATTCATCTTCAAAAAGCAAACTACCAGCAAGCCAATCAGTCTCTTGAAGTTGGATTGAGTTACAATTTTGAGGTATATTTATAATTTTGCTAAAAGAATTCATTATTATTGATCACTGGTTGCATACCCATACACTGTTGCTACAAAAATAATTCTCATTGTAAAGAAATCAGTTTTAAGACACAAAAACAACTGCAACAAGTTTGTATTTTTTGTTGATATTTAACATTAATTAATTTTGTTTAAAAGCATTCTTCAAAGTCTAAGAGAGCTTTTTGTTACTTTTCCACCTCTGTTTTATGCCAGCCACTATATTGTTGAGGAATGTTTAGTGAGTTCAATTTCTTATGACTAACATGTTATGGACTACTCAACAATATTTTGTTTGTTTAGGTTCGTGAACATCCATCTTACCATCTGATCAAAGCCCAAGTCCAGCAAAAGATGGGAAACCCCGAAGAAAGCATTAAAACTTTGATGGCAGCTATGAACCTGCCAGGAGTACAGAAAGCAGGTGCATTATTTTAAAGGAGATTAAATGTAGAGATTCAATTGAATGGGTGGGATGGATGGATGGATGGATGGATGGATGGAAATGAATAAATAAATGAAAAGACGTTTGTGTCGATGTTATTCTTGAATTTTGAATACAAAGCTACAACAACACTAAGCTACTGTACAACACTTTTGAATGTTTCTACCAGTTCTTTCTAAAGATAACTTCTACTTTCTATTTACAGCTTCCAAAAGCAACAAAAAAAGCAAAATTCAAATCCAGCTGAGTGATCGTGTCTCTGTCTATCTTGGGTTRGTTGAAGCACATCGCCAGGCTGGAAACATGGTAGGTTTATCTTTCATTGCCCTTAGCCTAATGTAGTATATTCATTTAGATTCTGGTTTGAGACAAGGACAAAAAGTCTTGGTCATGGTCCTTCTATGAGCTGTTTTGTTTTAAAAGATATGTGCCAGCATTAAATAATCATCTCTTTATTCCCATTACCGTTTAGCATGAATCAGCCAAGTTCATGCAGGATGCCATTAATGAGTTTCATGGTACAAGTGAGGAGGTCAGGTAAGATAGTTTCCATGGCAATCATCAGACTACAAGCACTACCTACTTGATAACATCAACCTTGAACTTTTTTGCATGCCCTGTATGTCTAAACTGGGCACTTCAAACTGTTAGCACTCAAAGATAAAGCTCTTCACATGTCCATTCAATATTCTCTGCATACTACTTATAAAAATTATTGTCTTATAAAATAATGCTACATATAATGTGTAATATTCCACTAGGGTTCAGATCTGCAATGTGGACCTTGCACTAGAAAGAGGAGATACTGAGCAAGCTCTAAGTATTTTAAGAGCCATCACTCCTGAACAACCGTAAGTTTTTCACTCCTCATTGGATAAAAAGAATTTAGAGTTAAATACTTATTATGTCTATATTAAACTGTCTCTCTAGGTACTACATCAAGGCCAAAGAAAAGATGGCAGAAATCTATCTACATCATCGTAAGGACAAGCGTCTGTATGCCAGTGTTTACAGGTCAGTTGCAATTGAGAACTGATGCTGCAGCACAAATAAGGAAAAACCTATTTGTACTAGAAATGACTGAACAAATTGTGTGATTTGGTTCCTACATGTAGATTTAAATTCTTCATTGATTATGTACTCCTTTTTTTGCTCATTTGTATCTTCTTCCATTATCTTTTTATTTATTCATGCATTTGTCCATTCATATCATTTGCTTATATTTGTTTATTAATATTTATTAGGGAACTGGTTGACAAGAATCCCAGTCCTCATACGTGTTTGCTATTAGGAGATGCTTACATGAGCATACAAGAGGTATTGTTGTAAACAATCATAATAATTGTACTTTTATTCCAACAATCATTGAATCTAACATTTCTGGATTGGACAAACTATAGCCTGAAAAAGCCATAGAAGTGTATGAGTCAGCTATCAAGAGGAACCCCCGCGATGGTGCATTAGCCAGTAAAATAGGACAGGCTTATGTTAAGACTCATCACTATGGAAAGGTAGAGTTCATTTGTTCATTTATTTGTCTATTATTCATTCATTCATTCATTTATTTGTTCATTTGTTCATTTGATTTTTTGTTCATTTTCTCATTTATTATTCATTCATTTATAATTAATTTAACATTCATTAATTTATTCACTTATTCATTTAATATTTATTTAATATTCATTCATTTGCTCATTTGTTCATTTATGCATATATTTATTTATTTATGAATTCATTGTATAGGCCATCAACTATTATGAAGCAGCACTCAAAACTGGACAGCAAAACTTTCTAAGGTAAATAAGCTTTTGACAACGCATTGTCAACATTTGCTGTTCTGATGATAGTATTTCATGTCTTTTCTAAGATATGACTTGGCAGAACTCTATCTTAAACTACGCAGTCTAGATAAAGCAGAGAAAGTTATAAAAGCTGCTCTAGAACAGGAAAAAGGTAATGCTTTATATAACAAACATAAAGATGTTATACTCTGAAGATGTCAATTTTACTACTAACTGTATATTGATGTGAATGCTAGCATGGTGATTGGTTGATTAGAATGTAACAATATGTTATCAATATGTGATCTCTTTTAAGCTTTTTCAGTCCACAAATCTTTAAGTCGCATAAACATGAAATTTGCTAGTTTTATGTACTGGTGATATAAAAGCTGTCTTTTAAATGGAGGGGTCTGTGTAGAAGGGTCCATGAGATGTTTCAATGAATATCCTCTTTCTTTCACAGCATCTGATTTACCATCATTAATGGCTGAGGCTCGTCTGTTGGCTTTACTGGCACAGGTATATCARAAATCCAACAGCATGGAACAGACTCTCAATACCTTGATACAGGCTAAAGATTTACAAACAAGGTTAGAAAACTGCTATTGTGTTGGAAGGTCGACGTAAGCTAGTGTGATCTATGTGTTTCCAAATAAACAGAAATAATTTTACTCCATTAAAGTATGAGAAGTATGTTAGTAGAAGTATGTTAGTCCTTCTTGTGCGAATGTTTTGAGATCCTACAAATTTCAAGACAACAACTGCATAGGGACTTAGTCTTCAGAAGCTCTCTCCCTTTGTTCCTCATTTTTTTATGGAAAAATCTTGTCAAAAAGCACTCTCTATAATCCTCCATTTTGACTGAAACATTTTCTCAACAGAGTCCTCAAGAGAGTTGCAGTAGAGCAACCTGATGCTGTTCAGGCTCAGAAACTCCTTGCTGCCAAGTTAGTAGATCCATGTCGTTTCTCTTTTCTTTATTAAATGTAAAATCATTATATAATAATATTGTCTAAGATATCCTATTTTTATCTCTTTTTGTCCTTAAACATGAGAGGCTGCTTTCACTAAGGGTGGATGAATCCTCGTTCAGTGGATGAAATCCATACAAAACCCATGGGTGGATAACTTCATCTGGTGGATTACTTTACTCCCATCCAAATAGCCAAAGACTGCCACATGCTTTAAGTGCTTAAGCARTATTACCTTGTGTACTCAAACCATGCAATATAATTTTTGTCTGCAGGATATGTTCAGAAATGGCAGAGCTTTCYACCACTTCACGTGAATATGACAAAGCAATTAAATATTACAAAGAAGCTTTGGCTTACGATGATACTCATAAAGCAGTAAGTTATGTTCTTGTTATTTTATATTTATTWTTAAGTAATAAATGGCATTTTAACCCCTCCCAGGAACAGTCCATTTGTGGTTAACAGCATCACTAGTCTCTCTCTTTCCTCTCCTCTCTTTATTTTGCGTTTTCAATCAAAACTTCAAACTGCGTTCAAGATTTTTCAAACCTGAACGAACTTTTATTATGTGCAAACATTGGTTCACAATTAATAGGCGATATGCATTATGGCGTCATTTACTACGACTACCAGAATGCTTTGCCAACTTTCTTTTGTAATGCAATTAGTGCCAATTGTTTTATTAATCTCCAAGAAGATTAAAAATCTGAATAACAATGAAAATGCGCAAGGCTCTCTGGTAGTTGTGGTAAAGTTACGTCATAATGCAAACGGCCTATTCTGTGGAGTCCCAAAGCAACATAGTATCATTTCATTGTTATTGTACATTATGATAGGTTGTACAATGTGGTATATTATGGTTTTGTTTTTTGTTTCCCTGTAGTCCATGTTGGCCTTAGCTAAGCTGTACCTGACAGTAGATGACTTAGACGCTTGTCAGCAGCAATGTGTTTCATTGCTAAAGATGGACCCTGGTAATGACTCAGCTACTGTGGTAGGTATCATAGATTACCATTAATTACCAACATGGGCGTCGGAGCGTTTTTTAGCGGGAGGCGATCTTATTATTTTATCATTAAGACAAAAACAGAAAAAGAACCCCGGGCATTTGACACGACTTTACCTCCGTACAGTGGGGAATTTGACTGATTTAGGAGCAGACGGGCAGGCATTTGACGAGTAGGCGACCATCTTGGAAATTATCGCTTCAGATGCGAAAGCGCTATTTCGTGACACAATACGAACTTTTAAGCTTAAGTTAAAAATAAAAATATATCGTGAACCTAAGCATATATATATCAATAACTAAGTGGGGGCGAGATCACTTATATATGGGGGCGAGATCATGGGGCGACATCACTTCGGGGCGACATCACCGGATACCATCCCTTAACATGATGTTAAATCAAGTAGCTTCTAAATATGCTATTAAAAGACACAAACTACACTCTTTTTTGTTGTATTATAATATTTTATCACCAAAAAATCGTTTCATATGAATACATATACTCTCCTTAGCCTTTTCCCCAGACAACTCTTTTTTCCTCATCCAGGCTTATTTTGCAAACTGTCATATTGACCACTAGGAACTAGTAATACCATTATTATAATACCAAAAGACAGGAAACCAGTGACTCTTAGTGATCCTATGGTGGAGGCTATATTCTCTGCATATTTTCTTCATCTGAATATTCATATGATTGCCATTTCAGATGATGGCAGACTTGATGTTCAGGAAGAATGAATACGATTCAGCAACATACCATTTCCAACAACTGCTGGACAGGAAACCTGGTAAGACATACCTTTTTTCTAGTGAATCAACTTTATTGTCTTCTTTTGACAAAATTCTGGTCTTCACACCATACATACATTTTTGGATCAACTCAACAAGCCTAAAGCTGCTATTGTCCCGTGCAGATATTGTTTTTAGTACTTCGCTCATTACCACTCACCAGTTATTTCTTGATATTCTAGGACATTATGCAGCACTTGCAAGGCTTATTGACTTACTGAGAAGAGCTGGGAAACTTGATGAATGTCCTAAATACATTGAACAGGTATGTAATATGTACTAGACATTATCAACTGTCTGAATGTTTGCATAATTTGTAAATAATTATTTGTAAATCATTTAGAACGTCTTCGTCCAGATAATTGTTGTTTTCTAATCGTTTTTCACTTTTTATGCAAAAGAAATATTAAGATTTGTAACTCCAAACCTCTTCTCTAATGATGTTTGTAGGCCGAGAAATCTGTACCCAGGGCTGCAATGGATTCTGGTTTGAACTATTGTAAAGGCTTGTATGAATGGTAAGTACAATGATTGACAGATCACCAAAGGTGGATTCATTAAACACTCACTGTTTTCCAGGTACACACTAAACCCTACAGGAGCTTTAAAGCATTTTAACTTGTCAAGAAAAGACAGTGATTGGTGAGTTAAATATCTGTTGACAACTTTTTATCGTTTTTGCAGACAAAAATAGTAGCTTAAGTAGACAAGGGATTGGTTTMTTCYGCGCAAAAATAATTTGTAACAGTGCTAGGAGCTTTAAATAGACTWTCAAAACCCTCAGATCCGTGCATAATATTTCTGGACAAAATATAATAGTAGTTTTGAATTAACTCTGAAAGGACTCAGACCGCGGTTTCCGCTGCATATGATATGTCACTTTCCAGGAAATAATTTTAATTAGCGTTTTTCAAAAATGACAAAATATATCTAAGTAGGCTTTGAAAATAGACAGAGTTTTTGTACCTTGCTTTCCAGTAATAGTATAGAGTTTCGATCTGTGGGTAGTTCTACCTTTTTACTAACACCCATTGTTTGATTTGTATTGTCCAGGGGAGAGACGGCTGTGTATAATATGGTRGAGATCTGTCTCAATCCAGATAATGAGACGTTAGGCGGTGAGACTTTTGAAGCCATGGATATGGAATCAAGGTTTGAAAATTCGTTACGAAATTCATCGCTATCCACACATTTGGTTATTCACTCACCATTTCATTTTTCGTTTTTTTTATTCATTACTTTGTCCGTAGGTCAGATGGATCTAAATCCCCTAATTCAAACCATTCGTGTATTATTTATCATTTCCTTTTCCCATTATTTATCATTTCTTTTTCCATCAATATAGTCCTTCAGAAAAACAAGACTCTGAGATTATGGCTGTGCGAACTGCAGAGAGATTACTTAAGGTATTTAAGAAAAACTTGTAAAAAGGGACGATATTATGRATAGTTTAATTTCACCTTATTACATGGATAATAGTGTTTTACCGGAAGCTAAAACACGTGTATTTTTCTGTATTTTTATTGGTGAAGATATGRAAAAGTTATGCTAACAAAATATGCCGGTTKCACGCATTCGTTCGATAAAAAACAGATTTCCCCGCCCGCTTCTACTTGCGCTTCATATTAAATTTGGATCCAGTACTTCAGTTTTCCCATTCGATTCCTGTTGCTTCTTTAAATTCAACCTTCCACTTTTGTGATCA